ACTGTCTATAGTTTACGCGAGTAGTACACATTTAAATAAAACACTTTAACGGTTTAAAACGCGATGTATTAGTTAAACTTATTTGGAAATGATTTTTAACTTCGGCCCGACGTTTCGGACGCTTTGCACCAGCCGTGGTCACGGGCCGAAGTTAAAAATCATTTCCAAATAAGTTGAACTAATACATCGCGTTTTAAACCGTTAAAGTGTTTTATTAAAATCTTTGTCACATCTTACGCATTGCTTTTCCACCAAGACAATTGTATCAGTCTAGACAAGCTTAAAAATCTAGGTCTATATCTTGTTCATATAACAAGATAGACCTAGACCTTGTTGTTGTACTTCATTACAATGATAAATATTATTCTTGTTGTATTTGGAAAATGTTTATTCCTCATCAAAAATTATAACATGCTTTTATAATTTAATATGGAACCTCTTCAAATTATTAATATTAATAATCTACAAGAGTGCGCCATCCTCACATTACAAAATAAACAGTTTCAGCATACGTTTCATTGATGTTGACTCAAGGGCTCTCAGTCATGTTACGAAAACTGATTTTCAGTAAGGAAAAGTGTCACACTCAGACTCTTGAATCTTAGAGTGGAAAGTGATGTAACTTATATCTGCATAAGACGTTAGTTACCCATTGTATATTTTATAATTAAAATATAAGTCAATACATCTCTTTTGTTTTCTCTCTTTGACAAACAACAATTTTTAACCGTAGACAATCGTTAAAAACAAACTTAAAACTGGAAAACAAAGATATGTTAAAAGCATATAATATTTAGTTATGGCATGTTTTTTTTTTATTTAATTAATTAATTAACTTAATGAAGTCATAGCATGTGCAAATGCTTTCTATCGTAAAAGCCAAGTATAGTGGAGCTCTTTACACCTGCACCGGACGCTTTATTTACATAACTTAAAAGCGCGGCTGCCGCTGAAACTGAAAGAAATTGGGGCGTCATATTATCTGAGTTTGTGTGTGTGAAAATAAACCACCCATTGTCTTTTCCGGCCATTGTTTTTTGAAATTGAAGCTTCTCTGCTGAAGTATTGTTGTATGCAGCCCTTCACGTTCAATAGACCTTATAAATGGTTATTATTTAAATGAACTAAAAATTAATTAATTGCATCTTTCTTTAATGTAGTGTAAGTTCGTACATTTAATTTAAGTGTTTAACGTGACAAAAAATGTTATATGCTGTTGCTGTTTACTATTATTTATCGCGATATATTATCCTCGGATGGGCATATTATACAGAACACGGTATCCAATCGGTTAGAGCAACAGTGCGGAACTGTCTGCGGGTGCCGGTTCAAGTCTCGCCCGTGTCGTAATTTTTTCAATCTAAAATTGATTTTTAATTTATATAAGTAGATTATTGAACATGAACCTCCGCGAGGGCTGTGACTCGGTTTACTGTCTTAACCAATGTTATAATTATATGTTTTTTGTTTCAGGCATAAATTGGACACGATGATAACCGAAGGTCAGTATAGTCGTTGAAGTTTATTTTTAAACAAAAATTAGCGGGTTATTTATAAACTTTTGCAATCAAATATTTGCTTACTTAAATATTTAAGAAATATAGATCGGAAAGGACATTAAAAGAGTATTATAAACTACTTAAACACATCCCTTGTTTTGTGGGACAGTATACTTGACATATTTCTGGTTACTATGTAAGAACTAGAACTGCTGTAAGAATGTTGTTTTCAGTATTAAAAGCTTGCCATAAATAATTAAAACTCTATAGATCGACAATATTATTCGAGACACTTTTAAATAAAACCTAGACAGACCAAATGATAAAGTTAAACTCTATATCCTCTTCCGTTTTGTGGGTGTTTTATCATTTTTTTTACCTATATATTTAGTTGCCCCATAATTCCAACCCAAGACCGGTTAACACAATGACGACTTCAACTATTGAGCCACGGTCGCGGATGGCCACAACAACGCCTTAAAACAAGTATAACTTCAACAGAGTTTAATTACTGGGGCAACAGTTTTACAAGTTTGTAATTTACACTTGTTTTAAAAAAGTTTACGGAATTCTTTGTGAATTTTCGTAATTTACTCGGTCGCTTCCCTTTTATGTCTCGGGGTCCTTGGTAGGCTTCCCTTGTTCGAAGTTAATGACAAAACTGACCCTGTCGAAAATTTCTTCTTTAAGTAACATTTCTATTACCAAATTAAAAGACAGTGGTGTGGGGGTAAACACGGTGAATAAAACACTAGTGTTTTAATTGATTCTGTGTTCATTTTTTGTTTATAATCCGATCTTCTAAATGGATTTTTGGGTTCTATTTAAGGTTAAGAATTTAAGTGTTTGTATGTATACTAAACATGTTTGGCTATTGACAAGCAATGGGTCAATACACAGTGGGTCTATCGACACGACTGTTAAATCTAGGCATTTAAGTAGGAAAATCAAAATTCCGTCCGTCCGAGAAAAAACAGATTCCACGCATGAAAAGTCTTAAAGTGTAAACCGCTTTTCGGTTGCAGTCAGTGCAGTACTGATTATTCAAGGTCAAAATAGGTTAACAGCACATCTTGTTTGGATGTTTTTTTAGCTCCACGTTCCTTTAAGTGAATCTGGTGTCAGGACATGTAATGAAAAAATCGTAAAACATTTTATATTCAACAATACGTTACACTATTGAAGTATTGTTTTTATATTTAAGAAATTGTCAACTTCTGTGTCATTAGGTTTTCGTAAACTTCAGATTTTTAATTATATAGTTATATATTATAATATATCATTTTGTGTAATTCGTTTAGTGTGGATATTTTAATTCTGAAAATATATTATGCTCGCTTCGTTATATAAATAAATTACCTTACCCAGCGCTACTGAATTGAAGAAGGAAATAAAATCCTTCGCCGGCATTTTATGTTCGTATCGTTTGGTTGTAAAGATGGAAAAGTTTTAAGTGTCTTGTATCTTCGTGGAAAAAGAATATTGTGTTCTGAACTGCTGTTTTTTTTATTTGCTCTGTTTTTACGCGTGTATCAAAATACATTTAATGGTGTAAATATAACTCGCTAGTAATAATTTCCACTATTGGCACAATTTACAATTTGGGAACAGGATTTCCAGAACTAAGTGTTTATGGATTATTCCAAGAAATCCAAAGCATATTGAGCGAATGTATAATAAGGCGGGATCACGAAATCTCGTGCTATATAATGCTAAATTTTACCCCTTTTTCATTCCCTTAAGTAAGAATTTTGGAAAATTTCATATCGGATACCAAGGTCGTGAAAATTACTTAATTCTAAGATGCAAGGTTTTGTCAATCAGCGGCTTAGAGTGTGCGTTGATGTATCGATCCGTCTAAGTTCAAAACAAATATATGATATGTAAAGATAAAAGTCGAAATATCCTATATAATACGACTATTAGCGTTGCAACACTGAAACATTTTCAAGTGTGATGACGTATTTAAATTCCCGGCCCGGTGGATATAAGATTTCACCGGATGTGTACATGAAGCACTCACATGGCGGATATAATTAAAACTCCATTTGCAAAATAACTCGTCTTCTCGTTCCACATGCAATAGTTTTATATATAACACAGGGGTTATATTAAACATTCCACCAACTGGAGTGTAAAATACTTGTTCAGCGTTTTATATTTGCCCGCCTTTTTAAATTATCCCCGGAAATTGTTTTGTCATTTTGTTTCTGCCTCTTACTCTATTGTGGAAAGTTTGAATTGTCGAATGAAAATTGTGGGAATGTTTTATTTACATACATTTATCAGTAAATGGCGGTTTTACGGGACTTATGTTGTGTAGTTTTCGTATCTTTAACGTTTGTTCTTTTATTTGTATGTTGATTAAGCGGGTTGTAGTAAAATATATAAATAAAGTCCTTGCTAAATCCATGAGTTAGATCATACTGTTGCATATTAGTCACAAGATATGTTCTGTTAAAAAGGTCGCGAAAAAGGTTTTTTAAAAGTCATACTTCAATACAATCATGTATCATCAAGACATAGTATGAAACGAAGTCGGGTTTTCTGACCCTATGTACACTTAAGTCTTTAAAACTAAGCGAATTTTGATGCATTTTTTTTGTAGATAGAGTGATGCAGGTGAGGTCTTTATAAGCAACGTTCATAGTTTTTCTGTAGTGTATTTAGTATCCGCATTGCAATCGAACGAAGCCAGGGCGCGTCGGTAGTGAATAATAACATAGTAAAATTCTTTAATTGAATATATTACAAAATTGGAAGAATTATTACCACATAAGTTCTCTTTAATAAATAATTCTGTAAACTTTTATTTCCGTATAGTTATTTCGTACTCGCTGCGGTTTCTCGTGATGTTTTTAGATTTCCGTAGGTGTACTGGCTGGAATGTTAATGTGGTATCGATCCCGGAGTTTGGCAGCGACCGGTCGGTGCCATGCGGCCCCCGTCGTCGTTTCTGCTGACTAATGAAAGCTTCCTTACATATTGTACTCGCAGGAAATACACGCGGCGTCTATTCCTAATCGATCTCGATTTGCAAGGCTTTAGTGGAAATCTTAAATATATATCCACACTTTTAATATAACCGACCGCCTCTGTAGCCAAATGGTTAAACGTATTGCCTTGTATTGCGTAAAGCGCGAGAGATCCTGGGTTCGAATCCCAGGGAACCAAAGTTTGCTTCGGTCGGGCAGGACACGGATGTCTGATCAACGAGGGGGAAACCGGGATTTTACTACTACTTTAATATTATCTTGCATAGTACGTAATAGAATGTATAATACCGACACATATTTAAGAGTTCGTAATACCTAATTTGTTAAACCTAAAAAGTTCCGTTATTAACTCTTCGTGTGTTACTAGGATGTATGCGTAGATTCGTTGGGACGGAACTTTACTATTTAATTTTATAAAAGTTCTGCTCTTCGTTTGAAAATTGCAAAGACGTGTAACGTAGTGGCAAATTGCCGGTAGAGGCGGTGGCGTGAGGGCGAAGGCGCCATGAGCACTGGCGCGCTGCGGACCGCCGCGGGCGACTCGACGCCCGGTTCCGACGGCGATCGCATCACCAGCCTCTTTCCCAAGTGCAGGCCGAAGAGCATGCAGCATCACCAAGATAGGTAACTTACATCATCATTGTTACCACCCTCTACCCACCCTACGAGCAAAAGCTCGTAAGCATGTTTGTTTCTCTTCTTTGAGCCCGTCATTGGTGTAAAGGTAGAAGATGTACAGCTAATGATCATCGAACCGTGGGTTCGATCCCCATCCATAATTTTTTTAATCATTTTATAAATTTTCTGAAACATGTTGAACTTCGTCTGGCAAACTAGATATTAAATTCGTAGTAGAAATATTCCACCCGGGTCACTAAGAACCGTCCAAATATGAAAACGCCGTGAGGTTTAATCGCGTTTCAAATATCCAAAGCCAAAATAGGTATATGTTAGGTAAATCTATATCTATACTAATATATAAAGCTGAAGAGTTTGTTTGTTTGTTTGAACGAACTAATGAAACGAACGGGAAATGTGACAAAAATTGGAAAAAATATAATAATTATAGGTTTCCTAGGGGTACGCTGCAAAAACGGTACAAGATACCCAAAAAATATGTGTAAAATAATGATTCCTCTTTATAAGTGATCTAAAAAGAGTCTGTGGCACTATATGTCTGTCTTTTAAGAATATCCCGCAAGAACGACGGGAAGGGAAGCGACCGACGCGGTATAAAATAACTATACCATGCGGACCAAGTCGCGAGCATACCAGCGACATAGTATGTTATATTTATGGAGAATTTTACCTACCATTACGTGAAGCACATGCTTGTCCAAATAAAAAAAAACAGTTACTCAATGTTTTATGCCTACATACTATATAGTTATTTATTATATTGGCACAAGTTGATAAATTATTCAAAGCCGAAATGAACGCACAAATTTACGACTAGCGTAGCTGATGGAAGTTAATGCTTGTGGTTGGCAGACGTAGACGCAACTAGGTCATTACGTGGCGACTGAGCTTGGCAGGAAGGCTCACGCGAAAAGGTGATTAAACTCAACTACTGGGTCTTAAGAAATAACTAAACCGATCGGGTGCATTATACCTAACCGCTTTAAGGCAATGCCCAGTATTGTTATTTATTGGCTACTTGATTTAACTTACCCTACACTAATTATATATAGTCCTATAGTTATATATAAATGAGATATATACATTACGTTGACACTGAACATACTTCGTGTCAAACTTCTGTTAGTTAATCGTATGCCCGAAAAACTTTTTATATGGTGTTATAAAATATGTGTTATTTATTTTAGGTAAATTAGTATTAATTAAAAAATAATTGTCATGGAAATAATTTTACGACACGGGCAGGAATTGAACCGGCATTCACAGCGTTACGTGCTGTTGCTCTAACCAATTCAGCTACCGTGTCACGTGCCATGTGATTTTCAATGTATATAGTTCTTATTTACTGCATATGTGCGTAATGGCTGCTAATGTGGATTATGTAGAGTTGCGACTGAAACATTTCGTATACATTCAGATATATATACTATACCCATGTTATTTAATTTTATTATAATTTCGTGACCTGTTTTCAGATTAAACACTGCCATTGAAGGACGGGAGATGAATAACATGAACAACGTGTCCTCGGATGACGAGAGGGAGAATGACGCACAAGTCATACTCGGTTCCAAGGGAGCTTATAAGCTTAGGGATTCTAGGTTGGCATATTAATATTAATGATTCATTATAATACATCGATTATATAAGTTAAACAGTAACTTTTACTAGTGATAATTATAATAGGTATGTACGTGTTGATGTGCTACATTTTGAAGCTAAAAATGCATGCATTTACAAAACACTGTAAAATGGAAATAAACTAAGTAGAATTAAAAATCATCGATAAAAAAGATACGTGACACGTATAGGAAAGGCATAATTGTAACTGCAGTTACCTATATAAGACAAAAAACTAAAAACAGCGTTTCAAAAAAAAAAGAATACTTGGTATAACAGGTGAAAAAGATAAATTTAGCAGACTTTTGTAATGTAATTCATAAAATTGAATATATGTATAGTTCCTTTGTAATGTTTGCCTTAAACATATGATTACCACAAAAACTGACGATTTTTATTTCCGCATTCAAGGATAATAGAAATAGCGGGCGGCAGAGAATTGTACTCTCAAAGTAGAACAAAAGCTGTACGGAAATTACGTCACAATAACACACATAAGCACAACCTGAGAAACAAAATACGATCAATCACTAAGGAAACCGTCGACTATGCCGGGGATTCAATCACCAATGAGGTATATTAAGTGATATTAATATAGACGCCCAGTTTATCTTTTCCAGGGATTATTTAGTAGTGAGCAAAGGCAAAGAGATATTAACGCGTTCGTTTCATTCATCCATATTTACAGATACTCTCAAGATGGCTGAGCATGAAGGAGTTTTTCTTTGTTTCTGTGCCTAATGAATTTTAGCTGTCTTACCAGGTTAATAATTTTAAGCTCCGTTTCCAGATATCGTTGCATAGGATAAACCTTGAGCCGAAGAAAATGATTTCAAGACACACATCGCCTTCGTACACAAATGGCGATAGGGATAGAATTATCGAGCAAACGATGGGCATACCGAAAAACAGTTCTCCTATTCTGGACCCGCATAAAATTGCAGATATCAGCGCTAAAAGCAGCCCCATAGCGGTGGTAGCTGACGGTGAAGTTGTGGTCTTTGAAGACAATGATGACTGGAAAGGTGATCTTCTAGCATTCTCGTACACAGAAGAGTTCTTTTTACTTCGATAATATATGCCTTCTTATTTCAAATATTGTCAAATTTGTTTAGGTGTAGTTTGTCATAAGGCATTATGCTGTCTATGGAGGTTGCGTTCCTAGAAAATTCACTGCTAATTGTTTTATTTAGTTATTTTGTCATCTTATCTATCATATAGTTATCTATGATTTTCATTATATTCAGTCTTAGGAAAGTCATCGGCAGTGTAATAATTTATATGAACAACTAACTATCAATTATTCTTCAGTCTTCTCGTACCAGCCATTAGTTTTGCTTTCTTTGTTCGTATATATCTTAACCTTATTTCAGTGAACATAAAGCCTAAATTCAGATACTTAAATACCATTAAACATTTCTTTTCAACCATGATCATTACAATTTTCTTTCTCTTTCTTTTATTTTCAGTTATATTGAATTCTGTGTCTCTAGGTATGAGGATGGTCCCGGACGCTAGTGATGAGGAAATCGATATCAGTGTAAAGAGAACTTTAGACAACTTGAAAAATGGTGACAGTGAAATGAACAATAAGAGTGAAATGAGTGAGAGTGAATCGAGCCCTTCCCGAGACGACGTCAGACTGAGCGATGCGAGTCCGACGGGGGTGTGGTTGTCTGATGATGATAAAAACAGGTAAAAACAGATGAAGATCAAATTTTCGATTTTCTACCGGTGCTACTCGTTAATTATATTAGTTCCGATAATCGCCCTTAATATGATAAAAGTAAGGCTTTTATTTAGTTTTAGAAAATCAATATTTATTCGTTTCTTTATTTTTTATTTACACGACTTCGCCGGGCATTAAAGCGTAGTAACGCTGTTGGGTTTTATTGCCTAATATTTAGCTTACGAATTACTTGCTAACCTAATATACAAAATAAAAATAATACTTAACTAACTAAAATGTCGCGGCCTGTAAGTGATACAAAAAATACTCCTTGATTATTCTCTTACACTTTCCGACGCAGATAATGATAATCTCTTATTGATTCTATTTTTTTTAGAAAACCTGACAAACTCGTTCCTCATACTAATTATTACAACGCAATAGCAAGGTACTTTGGTAGGTATAGAAGATCGCGTAGATTTTTTGGTCGCTCTTTGAAATTGAGTTCGTACGAGTTACAGATTTACTCACATATTGTGACATTGAGTGAAGTTGATTATGCACTTCCATTAAAACTGCACTGAAGTTAAGTCTACATAGTTAGCTACAATTGTAAATGCGTTTTTCACAGAGTGACTCGAGTTATAGGAGAACTGCCAATAGCGGAGTACGAGGGTTCGCCGCGGCGTTACGGTATTGGACAGCAGAAGAGCCAAGTGAGATCACCAAGACCTGGATTTCCCCAGGTAGCTTACGAACATTTCTAATAATTGGTATGGTACTTAAATATATTTTTTAACCCATTTTTTTTATTTTTCAGCGAATAATAACAGAAAGCAGGGACGACACTCCGCCGCCCAGTTCAACGGCGTTCGACTATCTATACGAGTTCTCGGAAACGAGGAAAGTTCTCGAAGAGTTCTTTAAATGTCCTCCACAGCAGAACGCTAATGATGAAATTGTTAACTTTCAAGTAAGTTTCTTTATAGTCGATCATGTGATATACGGCAAGTTCTTATTTATAAGCGTCTAACTTTTAAAAGAGCTAATAACTAATGCCTTTTCTTGAAAGTTAAGCCTCCGTAATATTAAATGTATAATAATTTTATACTTGTTTGTTCCGAATGAGTGCGTGACGTCATACCGACTATTATAAACATTGCATTTGTCGGTCATCGCTCGTACAGATAGGTCCTCTCTGTTGTTACGTAGCTTGGCCTATATTTAAATTAATGGTTCCTTGCCTAGTGAGTGTATTTGGTGGTTGTTTGTTTCCTTCATAGTTAAACTAATTAAGTAAAAATTTGGCTAAGTAAGTAAGTGTAATTTAATGAATTATACAATTGTTACTTGTCTTTTTTTAATCCTGTCCATTTCTGATTCCTAAAATATATATAAAGAGTACCAGTATTTACGCATATTCATATTACAGGAATTAGACTACGAACTTCGCCGTCACACTCAAGAATGTCCCTCCGAGAACGGGATAGACGGAAGCGAGAGCGAATGGCCTTTGGCGGACACATTACATTCGCCGCATACCGCGCACAATCACACCAACTTCCTTGGCCTACAGGTTGTTAGGAAATACAATTTGACTATATCCTAACGTAAAAAAATGTTGTGAGAAATTCTCTACTAAGTGAAATAAGATATACTTCGACATATGTCGCAAAAAACTTTAAGCCCTAAGTCACACTTATATGAAACTGGTCCATCTAATCTTCTAATTTATTATACGTTACCTCTAAACCGACATCAGTAACTACGTATGCCTAGTTATTTTTGTAGTTGTCTGTATGAATTTTAATATTTATATATAAGACCTCCTGTTGTTACCTACGACGCGAATCTTTCGCCTCCCGTTGTTCTTGCAAGTTAATTTTAGGCAGATCATTTTTTCATACGTTTCCTACTATTTCTTCCCTTCTATTAGTTGTAGCGTGATGTTTTATAGCCTTCTTCGATAAATGTTCTAACCAATAGTTTTTTGGCAGCATTCTAGGTTAGGTCTTATATATTTTTTACTATGTTATTAGCAACAACGCGCCCGCTACGGTGCGCCCGACATGTCAGCTCTACGTGCTGGTCACTCTACCGTGATGGATGACGCGGGCGTCGAAGAAGACGAGCCTGACGTGGACGGAAGCGTATGCGCATCGCCAGCTGTACGACCAGCGCATGCGCTTGCCCTTTCATCGGCTGCTAGCGACACACCCAGCGATCTCTCGCTCGCTATCATGGAGAATGAGCTGTCAGAAATGAAAGGTAACTTTAATAGTTCCTCGGCTTTAGTAAGCGTTGTATGCTATGGTGGTGGTGGTGAAATCTCTTATGCCCTCATGGGCCTTGGGATTACGCTCCTATGGCCGTTACACACTGATCGGTCTTATTTACAGGCAAGTGGTTGATCAGACTTCTGTGCCCTGCCCGAACAAAGCTAACTTTTGTTTCCCTGGGATTCGAACCCAGTACCTCTCACGCTTAATGTCATGCTAGACAACCATTAAGCAACGGAAGTTGTGGACTATATATTCGGTACTAAAACAATATGTGTCCATTTAGACATTTTAGACTGTTTCGATTTCTTGAATTGTCAAACCTTTCTAGAAGGAAAGAGGATTTAAATTTTTTTAAATGTTGTATGCAGTTCGCAACTACGTCACAATCATTCGCATTGTGTACTTTTTCGAGCTATTATTTTTAATATTGTGTTCGTACGTTAGAAAATTAATATAAGACTTTTAAATTTTAGAATTATCAATTTTAGTGTGTATTTTATTCATGTCACTACAGATTCCATGACTCGTAACTCTGCTTATGCTAAGATATCAATTTCCTTTTCAGTACAAATGGAGCTGAATAGAGTAGTTGGTGCTCACATGCCTGTCGTAGAAGACGGGCTATCGTCAGGCCACGTGTCTGACAGTGACAATAATAATCAGATCATCTCAATGCCGGTAAATATCGCAATAAGAATGTAATCTCCTCAATTTTAATATTTCTCTGACTTACGAATACTTTTTAGGCACACTCTCCAATGAAAATAGAAGAGATCGTAGATAGTGGAACCAATACTGACCCACATCTTTTATCTGATGCAGACTTGCATTCGCTCGATCCATTAGGTAAGCTATTTTATGAACCATGGAAATAATTCTTATTTTGTGATAAAGAAAACTAGACATAATAAATAAATAGGTTAAAAGTTCTATTTTAAGACAAATAAACTCTAAGTATTAAAGTACTTTCGATATTCAAGATCCTGAATATGGTTGAAGGTTCCTTCAACCATGTTACTTCAACAATATATATATCTATAATATATATATATATAGGTATATAGAACTGTTTCGATGTTAGTTAGCGACTTCTTGACCATTGTTTTTTCATACTATGAAATTTGCGGTTAAGAATAGCATTACAGAATCTCATCGATAAAAATTCGCGTTGTAGTGTACGTGTGATTGTTTTTGAATATGTATTGTCAAATTTTGTCGTACTTCAAAAGCTTGCAGTTCCGCGCCTCCCCCGCCTGCACCAGCCCCACACCGCCCGTTGGAGCATGGTCCGCACCAGCCCCACACACCACATCACCACCACATGCCGCATACGCAGCATCACGACGATGTCTATGCCAGGTGAATTTAATTCCTAACATAAAAAAGGATCGTTTTAAATCTATATAACAGTAAACTAGTTGAAACAAAGTTATAATTTATTATTATTTAATCTAATATGCATAGTTATATACATTTTGTATTTTACAGAAAACGGCCGACATCAGCTCAGAGCAATGATTCTGTAGAAATTAAAGCAGTGAGTGGCGATGAAGGTAGTTTACTTTTATGCCTTACTAACTAACAAACCTCTCTCAATCAAAAATTAATCTGTATATAAATGTCACTTTTCAGACGAAGCTGACACTGATCTTGAGACCGACAGACTCTTGGGACAGCAACGAACTGACGATCAAGGATTCTTTGATGATAAAGTAAGTTAAAATTAAATTAAACCAATAAAATTGGTCACAGCAACAGCACGGAACGCTGTGGATGCCGGATGCCTTTTAATTATAATCAATTATATATAGTGCCATCATGTGCAAAATATTAAAAGTTATATTAAAGATAAAATTAAGGTATACTTAATTTTTTTTAAATATAACCATGAATCGTAATCGATGATTCATCGCGAGCAAAGTCGTTTAACACGCGTCCTACTCAACAGCAATAAATGTTCATTCTGAGTTGAAATGACCTTGCCCTCTTATTGTATCGGTCAAAGAAAAATATTTCAAATTACATTCATTAAACCTGCCTCACATATCATTGACTCTAGGAGTCATATGTTTAAGCATAATTTTAGATTGGACTTTGCGAAGTTGATTAATTATACTTTTTTCTTAGCCTCCCTATAATGTACTGAATAAGGGACATCTACAATATTTTATATAATCTTTGACTAAACATGTGTTCGCACAGTGTTACGCCAGTCAGTTGCGCTCGACGATATTACCATAACGTGTTTAACGTCACGATAACGTTATCTGCCAAGAAACCATCGCATTAATAACATTAAAAAACGATTATTTACATTGTGTTTATGTTATGTTGTAACTATGAGTGATGTAGGGGATATTATAGATCGCACTATAAGTAATCGCAGTGGAAATTGTTCTACCGAAAATATTAATTCAATATCAATTGAAGAAACAGTCTCGCTTATCTCCGATTCAGATGAAAATAATAAATATTTAGATAATGCCTCTATTCGTGAGAATACAACCGAAGATTGTGTGCAATTGTGACTCCGAGGTAAATGATAAAACTGATTTTCCTGTCGGAAATAATGGTGTCATAATTAGAGAAGGTACACGTAAAGAAATAACGCAGAATATAGATATGGCAAACGATAATATTAGTGATAATGAAACGAAATCACTTGCTCCTGCTAAAGAAACGTCAGAAGAAGAGGTAACCTTACTAATTATTAGTATTACTAATTTGAAAACTAAAAACTGGTCTTTATCGAATCTCTGCGCAAGAGTTGATTGTATCAATTAATTTTATTTTTACAGGGCTGGCGCAAACCCAAGTCTAGGACGGTGATGCCATCAGTAGGTTCTGCGGGAACGAATAGGGAAGCGCACCCACACGACAGTACTGATCATCGGGATGATGACGCCCTGCACAACGGAAAGGTAAGGCTTTTGTCATTTAAAGGAAATCTACAAATAAAGTGAAACATCAATTTTGAGAAATATTATTTTTAGATATTTAATACATAATCATCATTACTTTGATTTTTTTTTCAGGACAAAGATGCCAAGAAGAAAAGCAAAAACAAAGAAGGTGAGTAACATTAAAAATACTTTTTAAAGAATTTTATATCCTAGAGTTAAAAATGAAAAAGTGATTTTCACCACTATAATTTTCTTTTTGCCTTCATGGATATAAATTAAATGGTGAGTTTAAGAAAGCAAACCATATTCAATAACTAAACGTAAGAATATCAAAATATTTAAAACATTAGATATTTTAGATATTGCATATTTAATGTGATATAAAATTACTTAATTTCTACTATTAAAAAAACTGAGAAAGTTACAGTTATTCTTATACAAACCCAAAAAATACCTAAAGTATAGACATGTTCCATGTCAGTACTTACCTCAAGTACACTACACATTAAAATAAAACACATTTAAAGGAACGCGAATTACATTAGTTAACTTACTCTATACTGGGACCTGCCGTTTCGGATGATAGCAGCAGCCGTGGCTGATACATACAATACATACATATTTAGTGGTTGGACTGCCAAACAAACATAAACCTTGCATTACACATATTACAGATCTCGCTTCAGTGCTGATAGAAGGTGTGCTATTTCGCGCACGATATTTGGGTTCAACACAGCTGGCGTGCGAAGGACAGCCCACGAAAGCCACTAGGATGCTGCAGGCCGAAGAAGCTGTTTCACGGATTAAGGTAAGCACCCTCAAAATCAGATCTAATTTAATAACTACCAATTTTTTATTCTATTGTCTTACAGGATTATATACCTATACAAAAGTTTTTACTTATTTTTGATTAAAACAATCAGGATATTGAAAAAGTTAAATGTTCAAATCGGTGCACTGTTTATATTTTAATAATGTGAACCTGACTCCAATGAGCACATCTTGAGGAAAACTTATATTTTCACCACTGAGAAATAATTCCGATAATAATGTATCTCTTTAATTACTTGATGCCTGTGTGAATCGGTGATACTTAATAATAATTATCCTGTTATTAATTGTATTTATATAGTAGTTTTAGGAGCATGAAATTAACCTGAAATTTTTGTCACACCGATCAGTGCCTAGACAAAAAAGCATAGTAATTTTGTAAGCGGATGCTTATTATAAAATAGTTAGCTAAAACCTTTCAATAAACTATAGTTTCATGCTCTTTAGAATTTTTAGTGTTGAGAATGCTAGTGGAATATCCTTTGTCCATGTATCCCGAATTAAAGGGTATTGCTACATCACGTGTGGTGAGTTCACTGCCAAACTATTTTCGCTCTTATTGACTTGGCACTAGAGTATTTTTTCAGTGTTCCTCACCCCTCGACCTGACCCGAGAAGATTTCGGATCCCGTTTGGTCGGCTAGCCTCCTCTGGATAACTTTATTCTATCGCTTTATACGCTTGCTTGCTATGATTTGTTGCGAGGTATTGTATGATGGCTTAAGAACCCCAACGCAACGTAGCCTTGCTAGCTTTGTTACGTCGCAGTAGTTTTGCATGGAATGTTACCTCACAAGTACTGAGTTGAACTAAGAAGCTATTAAACTTCCTACAACTTTGACCAGTCCTAAACTATCGACCTCGTCCGTCATTTATCATCCCGCACAGCGTAGCTTTACTCGTCCGATTCACACCGGCTTAGGTGGCCTTATCTAACTCGGGAGTCGCACTAACATTGATCTAGCTTTTGCACCATAATACTGAATCCTACTAAAATACTCTTAAGGTTTACTTTTCGAGGTCGCTTTCATATTGACGACGGCTTCTCACATATCATTGTCAATGTGTGTGTTCGCGTTGTTTTGCTTGCTTTTGCGCAAAATTTTTGTATTGACCAATTGGCTTTTCTTACATTATTTGCCGATCAGTGAAGAGTATAAAAAAATCGTTATTTTTTTTACTCCAATCCCGTTTTACACAAATTGCGTATTCTTATAAAATGTGAATTACCCGGAGAAGAAATTGTACATATTCAGCGATTGAATGCACACAACTTACAAGCAAAACGACACGACACGAAAATAGGGCGTGGTATGTGAGTCGAGGAGGTTAGCCGGTATGTCTCACAGTGGGGCTGTGACGGACCGTACAGCGGGGTCTACGCTGCCCCGGCTGCGGTCTTCCGACTCTCCTTCCTCGGGTCGGTCGAGGTGGAGGAAGACTCTAGACGACGCAAGCGAAGGCCCAAAAAGAACATGGTCGAAGAGGCCGTCACCAAAATTAAGGTGGTTTGGTGTATTTATATGAATTCTATTAGAACTAGGTTTGCGGGATTCAAACGAGTTCTGTACCATTTTTTTGCTAGGTTTTATGTATAGCAAATAGTCCTTAAATAGTTCCCATGGTACCTGTAATATAAAATTAACAATATTGAGATTTAACAAATGTTCTCATTCTCAAAACTAACATTTTTAATGTACTTTATTTTTATGCTATCTTTGGATAATAACAGGCGTTGGTAAGTAGGTCTTACTAATACTAAAATCAGTTTTAATTCAATGTACCACAACATAAATCACTCACCACTTTCTTTCGATTGTAGGCACCAGAAGGAGAAAATCAACCAAGCACCGAAGTGGACTTGTTCATTTCAACGGAAAAGATAATGGTTCTAAACACAGAATTAAAAGAGATAATGATGGATCACGCCCTAAGAACGATCTCTTACATTGCGGATATTGGGGACTTAGTGGTTTTGATGGCAAGAAGGAGGTTCGTGCCCCACGAAAGTGATTCAGACCAACCTAAACTGAATCGTACGCCCAAGATGATATGTCATGTTTTTGAAAGTGAAGAGGTAAATATGTATTTATATCTGTCTGCAGATATTATTAAATATTTTATCTAATATAGCATGAAAGGGTATAAAGCTTACAATAGGAATTATGTTATTGAGGATTAAAGATTCTGATCATTAAATCGAACGTAATTCGAAGTAAATTATATATTTAATAATCCCAAATATATAGTAATGTTCTATTGTATAAATATTATAATTAGTTTGTTAAATTAATGTAAGTGAAAAATCAAACTTATTACCCTATACAAGACAAAGTATAGTTCTCCATTGCAATCAGCTATGAAAGTAATATTACTATACCTTTTTGTTGCATATTATTAAAATCTATTAATTGTCTGATTTTGTTGTTCAAATACTACTGTACAAAACATGGTAGTTAATGTTAATTACCTTGTTTCGTCGGTAGACCGTTATAATCATTAGCTATTTATTATCAATATAGACATCGATCAAAAGGCAGTATACAACAAATTGAGCAGAATTCAAAATGAAAGTGACGTCATTTCAGGCACAGTTCATAGCCCAGTCAATCGGGCAAGCATTCCAGGTGGCTTATATGGAATTCCTGAAAGCCAACGGTATCGAAGATCATAGTTTTGTCAAAGAAATGGATTACCAGGAAGTGTTGAACAGTCAGGAAATATTTGGTGATGAGTTGCAAATGTTTGCTAAGAAGGTATGTTACGAGGGTCATTTTTAGCCCACAACTTTATTGATTATCAATAAAAATGCAAGTGGAGTACGAGAGTAAAATTCGTGGTTAGTTTTTGTAGGAAGGACGTGTGCGTGCATAAATTTTTAGTAGCCACACTGCTACTGGAACTTTAAATACGTAATAATTTGTTAAAAGAAACGGATTTTAATAATAATACTATAATATTTATAAAGTGATTTTGTATATCTTATTGTTGTTGTGTACTATTGTCGTAAACATCTAAGACTCAATTTTATATGCTTTCGTCGACTTCAGTACTCGTATCCAGCTCTGACTATTAGAGGAAATCATTAAAATGTAAGACAGAAATTAATATAATTTTAGAACTGTTGTAATCTTTCGCATTCTGTTTTAGGACATTCCCTACCTATCCTAGCAAATACAACGTCATTTTTTCCTACTGCATCGTTCTATCCTCCAGCCCCTCGCTCACTAGTTCCTCAAACACGAATTTTTATAATCAGGAGTTACAGAAAGAGGTGGTGGTGCCGAAGACGAAAGGTGAGATTCTCGGCGTGGTCGTGGTGGAGTCCGGATGGGGTTCAATGCTGCCGACTGTCGTGATTGCAAACCTAGCACCAGCTGGTGCCGCCGCTAGATGTGGTCAACTCAACATTGGTTAGTACTTCCACTGTGCCGGGAACGACGGACATATAATCCAAATCTTAGCAAAATTTCTCATCAAAACAAAGGTAGTAGAAGACAAGTGGTTTAATCGGTCTTAGATGCGGCTTTGGATGAAGCTTAAAAATAAAAACACAAACTTCTAATGTAATTAAAACAAACTGGTCTTTACAGCAGCAATAGTTTTACATTCGAATCACTCTCAAAACAACTTAACAACTACTTTAATTATGTATATTCAAATGAAGTTAGACTTCTTCTTTTCTAAAAGAGATCTTTTTTTAGAAAAGAAGAAGTCTCTTTTAGAGAAAAAAAAATCTCTTCTTCTTTTCTATGAATTTTTTACTACTTACTTACAATTTACACCCACTTTATTTATATGTTAGTACTTTTTGTTTTGTGGTATAATAGTAATGTAATAAACAGTTTAAATAATAGTACTGAAATAAATAAAATATTTTGGTTATTACGTTATACAGCGTTGAAATATTATTAGTTCTCTTGCAGTGAAGATCTGGTATCACTGACCTGAAATCCTGTTGTTGTAGGTGATCAAATAATTGCAATTAACGGGGTAAGCTTAGTCGGTCTACCGTTGTCAACTTGTCAAACGTATATCAAGAATTCAAAGAATCAGACGGTAGTTAAACTGACAGTGGTGCCCTGTGCGCCAGTTGTGGAGGTGAAGATCAAACGGCCGGATACTAAATACCAATTGGGATTCAGTGTGCAAAATGGGGTGGTAAGTCTATTTTTTGTTTAATATCCTCGAGAAGCGAGTCTATTATTTTTAAATATCAAATAACATATTTTAAAAACTATAGACTCGATATAATCTCATCATGATCTCGGTATAAAATATATATAAGTGCAGAGCAAGCTAGCTCGTGAATTTAAAAAGAATGGCAAAAACACAGCTTATATATGTATAGCTACAGATACTAAAATAAATAATAACTGCGCAGTAAGTGTTGTCATTTTAAAATGTTAAACGCCTGCTACAATTTTTTTTCTTTATTTACTTTGTAAGCAAAATTAACTTTAAAGCTTAAAGTTTTGGGAAGTAATATTGTTACAATGCACAGTAAAAATCAATGCGATAAGTATGACGCCCTCTTACAAAATTGACCTAGAGCTAAAAACATCTTGATATACAATAAAAGCATTTGTCATGTTAATACACGGTGATTTTTTTTGTTTTATATCAGATATGCAGTTTGCTACGCGGTGGTATAGCGGAGAGAGGTGGGGTACGCGTGGGGCATCGGATTATAGAGATCAATTCTCAGAGCGTTGTGGCTGTACCGCACGAACGTATCGTCAACTTACTAGCGACCTCTGTTGGTGAGGTAAGAATGTCAAGATACATTGCAATGTTACATTTACGTACGATATATTAATTTATAAACTTACCTTACAAAGACCGGAGAGTTGGTGGAAATAGAAAACACGACTACATGACACTAGTAGTTATTGCGCTGTGTATAAAAATAAGGTTCCTCAGTCTGTGTATTCAGAGCCCATAGTAATGAAGTTTTTCCCTCTTTGGGGCATAGGGCGAACGCGTTTCTATGTCTGCGTCCTTTTTTATGTGGTCTCATTTGATGGTAGGTGTACCCCAGCCAAATGACATCTCAACGCTGCGCTGTGCACCTTTTTTTGGCTTTGGATATTCGTCGTAAATAGTTGAGTCTGTCTGTCTATGACCTGCCCGACCGCACCAATTTAGCGGTTTGCGGGATTCAATCTCACCTTTTGCTTAGCGCAAGTCTACACAACGCTAGAACCAGTGAACTACGAAGGTGATAATCACATAGTAGACTATAGTTTTATACTGATTTCAGATATTAATGAAAACGATGCCAACATCCATGTTCCGGTTGCTGACGGGGCAAGAGAACCCAGTATTCATCTGAGCTAGCACATTTACTTGAGCCTCACTGCCGCTTGCCAGTCACACATACATTCAGACACAAAGCTTTCTTTGCTTCTATCAATATGAAAAATAGCCGAACAATGCCCGTTTTCGGACGGTATGGTAATGTCGGTAGAGAAATTTGAATCTTTAAAATTTAAGTTTAACATATAAACGTTGATTGGTCTAAAAATTCTAATGCGGATATTGGACTCCATACAATGTTCTTCAAATAATACTAACTTCAATAGATTATGGAATTCAGTTTTATCTACTATTTTAATACTCAAAATGGATAAAAGGATTGTGATTAAATCTTGAATCGCTAACCCTAGGTATATTTATGTCTACAGAATAAGGTATATTATTGTATAAGCAGTGAGTATTTGCTTTCTATTAACCAAGATATAAATCATTATTGAACCAGAAAAAAGATTAAATAAATAATATTATATTATATTACTTGAACATTTAAACGCCTGGAGCAGAGGTCACCCATAGTATTTTTAGGTTGAAATTATAATATTATTTAATATTATTAAGGTTTCCTTAGCCCGTAGCAACAAATACTACTGTTGTGTATATGCAATGATAACAATGTATAAATAAATAATAATTATGAAGATCCATATACTAATTTACTACACAATATAATATTAATTATTATGAATATAGAAACTCATATCTGCTTAGATATTATGAATATAAGTGTCATATGATTATTGTATATGTTTGTGTCTATTTAAATGTCCTTATTTTGTTCGGGCCAATTATTAAAGATTGTAAAATGGATTGTATGCATACTGTACCACACTTTTGGGTTTAAACAATTGTGTTGTTGAAATGATTTTGCCCTAGATAATGTATCTATTTATTTAATTTTAAAGTAGGGAAAATATTGCCATATCTTAGATTTATTTCGTAAATTATAACATTCCTTTCTAATTTTCGTACCTACTCTACTCCACTGCTCACCATGAATCCAGTTTAAAAATGTATAGCTCTGGTGTACACCCAATCAATGTACCTTTGCATATTTTGGATGGTTTAAGCAGACACTTACGACTAAGTATAGAGATCGTGAATCTCAAGTGATTATTGATATTGAAATAAAGAATTGATTAGCGAATAATTATATTAAAATAAAGCATTATTTCGTGTAGCGTCTCAGAAGATATGTCATATTTTGTAAATTTTATAGTGTGGCTATAGCATTACTATTATAATCGATGTGTCTCATAGCTTAGCGTCAATATATTTATATGTATAAAAAAGTATTATGGAAATGATATTTTAAATTATAGGTATGTGGTGTTGTAATTTGTAACCCTTGCTTTCCTGTACTCCAATGCTTACAAATTGTGTACCTTAAAATACCTACTCACTTATACCACACTCCTAGTTATTCTGTTCTTTGCAATATGAAGTGTACCTGTTCTTGGTCAACATTTACATAAACCCCTGCTAAGTAATTACTCATAGATAATACAGTCGGATGTACTTTTGTATTGCTAGCTGTGAATAAGATTTATTTACTTAAAAAAAATAAATACTAAATAGCATTTTATTGTAAAGCTGGAATATTGTAGGTACACTATGATATGAAAAACTATCGTTGTTCTCATTTTTAAGAGTATTATTCTAGTCTGCATTAAAGTTAAGAATAAATTGATCAATTTATGTTGTATTCTCTTATTTCAAGTATCCTATCCCTTTAATTTTTATAATATCTATATACGTTTTCCTTGAATTGGTTCTCGTCAGTCAAACACGGTTGTACATTTTTAATCTCTTATTAGTTTGAAGCTAATAAAATATTCGTTTTACATCGCTTGATTTGTAATATTCAATTAATTGATCTCATAGGAAACTTTTAAATAAAACACTAACGGTTTAAAATCTATAGACAGTATTTCATAGGAATCTTGTCATGGCGAAAGGAGTCCATTTTTAATTTAAATTAAATAAAAATAACCATTTGACATGACATGGTTATATTTTACCATAAAACGACACAATGAGTAGACTCATTGACCCGTTGTTAGTTTTGCTATCATATATGACCGATTAATATTTTAAATAATTAAAAAAAAAAGATATTCGTTTTTGTGTAATTAACAGTTATTACTTATACGTTGTGCATCTTCTAGTAAAGCTTTAGAATTTTTTTTCCAAATAATAATTATCAATTATCTTTCAAGAGCATATTTTATTTTTAAGTGAAAGACAATTTACTCAAAACATTTTCTGTATTCTAAATACAAGTCCTTTTGGGGCATCCTAGTTAGGTAAAGCAGAAATCAACCATATTAAAATTTCTCTGTTATATTTTACATAAGAACAAAGAGAAATCGAAACTAATATAGAATTATTTCATATTAATTTGAAATCCAACTGTTTCATTTTTCTTAGAAAGATATTCATAGTAAGTTTATAAACAATAATTTCAACATGGGAGGTAAGTCAAATGAAACTTACCATTTCTTGTCTTACATTACGAGGAGATTCATTATTTTGATAGTATAAAGTAATGCAATAAAACTTTATACCATAGTACTTTTCTTTCTTATCCATCTTAAAAGTAAAATACATATATACACACAAAAATCAGTGTTAATGAAGCCATGGAAATGGCAAAATTGGATGAACTTAACTTGATTTCTGTGTTCTACAACAAAACACTACATGTCATCTTATCTAGATAAATTATAACAAGGAGTTGTTTCATCGAAACAATTTATTGTGACTAATGCAAAATTGCAACATATTCTATAGAATTAAGATTTTTTGCTTCTGAAAATTACTTTTTAAGTTTATATCATCTTTGCATGTTATCTATGTAAAATGCGCTGAAAACAATTCTAAGCAGGAATCGAAGTTGTAATTTATAATATACTTTTCTTGCAGGCTCTAAATCCTTTTTTATGTAAGATATAAGTGAAAAATAATCAATGTCTGTGTGGCTTTACTATAAATAAATATATATATTGATAGACTAATCATATTTTTTGCATAATAGCCATATTTAAATGTACTACTTTTATCAGCAGTGGTATTTTTATTGATTTATACATTTACAAATAATATAATGAATTAGTGGATCAAGTAAATTGGAATAATAGAAGTGATACAAGATATTTTGATAGTCACCTGTACTTGCTTCATCAGCAAGATATATGGCAAAAAAATATAAAATATCTACATAATACAAATAAAATAAGAATCAGCATTTGTATATTATGTATTTAGAAGTTGCTCACAAAGCCAAATAAAATTTACATAAATACAATTATAAGTTTTAATCTGTTTTTTACAATAAAAATAGTACACATAAGATTTGAAGAGAAAGAAAGTTTGATCAATGAAATAAATTAATTAATATCCTTCAACTGTCTACCTTTTATTATTCAGTATCACTAGAGATCAGGGAACTGATTGCGTTTATAGCACTTATCTTTAAGACTCCAGCAAAGGCGATGAACTTTGTGACGATACACACTATCCTTTGTATAAAATTAACCAAATTTCATAACCATTGAATATATACATTTTCCCAATTTACTATTTTATTACAGTAAAAAAATAGGCATACCTAATATTATAATGAAGCTACAAGTGAGAGGGTAAACAATTGGCCGTCGCTCATGCCTATATGGTTCTACATTGAAATGCAAGGTTAAGGGCTGTGGTGGACGACAGCCTCTGTGATAATTTTTCCACAATAATTGTCTTTTCACAAGTTAATGGTCTAGGTCAACATAACTTGCACTCTTAAATCATGATAATAATATAATTATGTTAGTTTCTTCCACGTATCTCGTGTGTGGGGAGGCACTGGTTGCAATTGCATATGCTCAGTTGAGCATGGCATATCTTCGGGTCCACTCCTTGGCATTTCGGATTGCCTCACTTTCGTTTACTTTCCACAGTTCTGCAACGTCGTTTGCAAGCGGATCGTCAGGGTTTGGCGCGGAGAGTAGAGCCTGGATAGATAGAAGCACCGTACGAATTTGCAGAGCTGGACTCCATTTATCTTTCAATATGTCCAGGCATATGCGGCCAAGCCGGTCTATATTAGGATGATATATTTTTGTTATAAATCTAACCTTCGGTGCTGACATTGGATAATCTTCTGGCAGGAATAGTTCTAATTTGAATAGTCCTCCTTCGAAAGGCGAGTCCTCGGGGCCCGTGACGAGCACGTGGAAATAACGCGCATTGGTCTCACTTGGAACCGCACTTATTCCCGGTACGGGTTCCTGCATCAATCGCTGTGTCTCTTTGATTATCCTACGTGGTAGGGCTGCCATTTTATATATGCGGTTTAGCGCAATTTACCAAATGAAACAAAGTAACCATATAATAATAAAAATATCCTAACTGTTTTCGCACTTATCGTGTGTATGTCGATTATTGAGGCACGTTCTATATTCAATTCAATTATAACAGCATTTTACGAATGATAATGTTAAAACACGATTACAAAAGCGAAATTTCTGCTCAATTTTTAACTATCACCATAGATAACATAATTTAATGGGTGTTTAGAGTGCAGATTATATAACATAGACTATAGTGTATAGAGTGCAGATTATACAACATGAACTATAAATTAGTAGTAGTAGTATAAACAGCGTAGTGTCAAATCTATTATGAGTTATGGCCACAGCTAATGTATGAAGCTAAACAGCTTGACTGATTATCTGTATTTTTAATTCACATGGTCTGTGTCTGTACGAGTAGGATATATTTATTGTTGCAGGTTTAATGTACGATTTTCAACATAACGATTTCTTACCCGTATTATATTGAAATATGGTTTTTAGCACGGTATTACCGCGACATTAATTATCAATATTTCATGTACTATGGTTTTATTATATTGTCTCTGATGTAGGCAAGGAAAGTATATTTTGTGGAATGTTTACGATTACCTATAAAAAAAACGAAGTTGGCAATTAGCGACGTAATGATTAAGAATGAACATCCAACGTAGCGATCCTTTTTCAAAGTCTGTCATTACAGTAGTTTCCTTTTGAAAATAATTGTATTGCCCATTATTTTCACAGCGAGTTGTAATCTTTTTATATGTTTATAGACTGAAAAAATTTAAGAATAAGCGAAATCAATGAATAAAAAGATTTTATTTTTCTTTGTAAGTATTTAAGACAAACCAATACTAACAATTTGCAATATGACGCTATTTTTAATAAAATTACAGAATAGTTTGTTTATCTCGATAGTTTATTTATTTAAAGATACAATTTAAACGGCTAAAGCTAGTTAAATTTATTAAAGAATTGCAAGCATTCATTAATTAAACCATTCGTTAAGTTACATATGGCAGTCGTTAGAAGCTTTATACTCTAATATGGAAAGTCGAAACAAAGTCTGGAGCACGCGCCACCACGTGCTCAAAGTCCATGAATGAAAGTCGTCCATCGCCGTCTACATCTGCTTCATCAAGAACGCTTGTTACGATCTCTTCTCGTTCACTCTCTTGCAATTGTCCTGCGGTGAGTAATTTCGTCGCTTCTAACAGATCTTCCCGACCTATATACTTGTCGTCATCTAAGTCATAGATTCTAAATGCGTACCTGGTAAAAATAAAAATACTAGATACAGATACATATTCAACATTTAATATGTTAATAAATTCTATTTCAATAACTTAAGTTATGCGCGGTAATCTTTCATTCGAATTGAAAAATTATTTTAGTGTTGAAGAGACCATTGAGGAAGGCTTTAAAACATAACTGTGACAAAGGGCGAAGAAACGTAGGGTTCATCCCGAGGCCTCCCGATGCGTGCGCTGCGAAAACGGTTCAAGAAACAAAAAAAAAACATTTATAAAAAAATAAGTTCTGCTTGAAATGAAAATGTACGCGCCGTTGTACGATGTATGAGTCTGCCTTTCGCCGACAGATTTTACTTGCAAGAACGACGGGACGCTGTACCAGATGATAATTATAATGATGAGGAAGAGGTTTGCAAAAATAAATTTGAAGCCCAAAATAACTATTTCTCACGGACATCGCTGGCATAGCTAGTCTTTTATAATATTTCCTATTCATTCATACCGTAATTCACTTATTCTAATTGTTTGATTCGTTATAATTGAAACATCAAGCGTGGAGCATTACTGAAAATCGGCGATACATTTATGAAGGTAAAGCAAATCTTAATGATGTCTCTATATTTCTTAAATGTTTACATATACTGATCAATTGATATTAACTTCTAGTTATATTAACATCTGTTAATATAATATATGGAAATGAATACTAGCTGTGCCCGCGACTTCGTTCCCGTGGAATAGTGACTTGAGGTAGAATTTTTAATTATTTAGGCTGTTTATTAATTTATGTATAATCATTTCGCATTTATCGCAGCCCCCACCCCCCCCAATCTATGTTGAAGTTCTAGTTTGCCTCAAAAACACATCTCGCCTCAAACTATCACCCCCCCTAACCCCTTACAACCCCCCTTTTTGCAATAAAAAGTAAGTCCTTTCTCAGGGTCTAGACCATATGTGTACCAAATTTTATTCAAATCCGTTTAGTAGTTATGGCGTAAAAGAGTAACAGACAGACAGAGTCACTTCGATTTACTTTCGTATTGATAGTATAATGTGTATTACTCGCGTAAACTATAGGTTTTATTTCATACTTTACACACTACCATTTAAATAATTCAGAAAATTTACTCTACTTATTTAATAAAAATAAATCAATCAAATAATTAATGATATGAAATGCCTTTTGTTACTAAATCGATTTATTCAAATACGACCCAGGAATTAAAATATGGCGGCCACCCGTATTCAAAAGGTTCAGCGATGAATAGCTGTGATCGAACTCGGCTGCGTCTAATACATTTTCACACTTCACTCTCATCAATCTCGGTTTTGACAGGTTTAAAGTCTTACATCGGATGGCTTTCGAGGAAATTACTGATTTAAACGAAAGCGTCCAAGAATTAATCGGATAATTACCACGCCTTTATATCCCTCGGTGCAGCCTCGCTAAACACGGACATCATATCCAAAAAGTCCTCAAAAGTCAGGTTACCTGAGGAATCATGCGAAAATACTTGACAGATGCGGCGCTTGAAAGGGTTTTCCTGTGAAGGAGGTTATACTTCAAGTTACATTAACTAACTACTACGATTAGGAAAAAAGGAAATTATTAAATGTCAGTATTGTCTATGCCTAGTTTACGCGAGTTATGAATACGTGAAACTTATTACTTTCGTTGGTTTTAAAGCTAAAAGTCGTAGTAGCGTGGTTGTGTCGCAGTGAAAAGCGAAGTGTTTTATTTATTATAAACTATAATAATACATTTTTACGTTATAACGCAAAAGTATTAGCAGTACTGTCTTCAACCATTTAAAAAAAAAAACCCTTTTAAAAAAAACCCTTTTAGGGTTTTAAAGGGGGTTTTTTTTTTTTTTTTTTTTTTGTTTTTTTTTTTTTTTGGGGGGGGGGTTTTTTTTTTTTTTTGGGGGGGGGTTTTTTGGGGGTTTTTCCCCCGTTTTAAATAAGTGTTTTATTAACTGTGTACCATTTAAACGTATTTAAAAAACACATTTTCTTATTGATTTTAAATTTTTATATCCGAATTCATCTGCTCTACGCGTATTAATCTTATAGTGATAATGATGAAATAGCACTTACCTTCAATTCCGGTAGTTTTTCTATTTCTTCAACCGGAACTACTATGGTATGAGCTTGGTTGTCAGTCATACTCTTTGGTATCACCTCTGGATTAACTTCCCTGAATCGCTTAAATACTCTGAAACATATTGTTGTGCTTTAGTTATTTATTTAAGTAAACAGCGCACGCGGTTCCTTATAGTACTGCTGTTATTTATTTTGCAGCAATTATTTCTTTTGCAGCAATTATTTCTTATTGTATGAATGTAACGTTTTTTAATTTCTGTAATTTGAAGAGAATGTCGAAAGTGTCCATTCGAGCAGTCGAAATTCGGTTGTACAAGTTTACCTACTGTATATCTTGACTTGCCAAACACAAAAATACAAACAACTAATACAAAGCGAGCATTTATTGTATCATACCGAAGTATTTCCTTTCTAGTGAAGAATGTACAGTCCTGTTTAAAACATTATACAAAAACATATTACTGAATGGATGAAGTTAAAAGCTTAAATAACATCTCTAAGCCTAGAGAAACGAAAGACACTGGGTTTAGCTAAATGTTTGGCCAAACAGATACTTTCAAATATTGTAATAAAGTATTAAATCATAGAGTGCTATCGAAACGTACGTAATACGAAATACGTTCAGTCGAATAGTATATATAACGTAAAACTTCATGTAAATATAATTAAACCAAGGAACCTGATAGTCTTCTAGTTGTTGTTCCGTGAACGTGACAACTTTGTTTCCCATTGTTAGAATAAAAAGGCGGACGTTGGCTGGTCTGTTTGACACTGTCAGTACTAACGCTAGTTTAAGAGTAGGTCGCAAACAGCAGTTAATACAGATTAGCTTTTCAATGGAGAAATTATGTTTTTTTTAGAAAATTTCAGTAAAGTATTTGTTCTTTTATCTTAGGTCTTAACTAAACGTAACGTTTTATGATAGATGAGAATGAAAAAGCATGGGTTCACTTGATTTCCGAATATCCAAAGCCAAAGTACGCTTTGGATATTCGGAAATCCACAGACTGAAATCGAAAAGTGATTTAACTTTACGACGCAATCTCGATATTCCTACCACCCATTTAATATCCAGTTTTCCAGACGAAGTCCATCATGTTTCAGAAAAAATATAAATTGATTAGAACTATGTTGCATCCGATAAAGATCGAACCCAGGGACCGTGATTATTATTGGCCTTACAATGCTACCACCAACAAGCCCGATACACATTATTATCATGTGTTAATTTATGAATTATGTACTTTTACATTCCAGTTAATTAATTAATAATGGAGATATATTCGCCAATTCTATACTCCCGCATTCTTATTGTGAAACCTGTAATTCATTTTCCAGTTTTTAAAATGAAATAAATATATATCATAATAGAAAGTCTCTGAAAGAATTTAATCTGTGCAAGAGGGTGTAACAGCCACACCTCATTCTCCCCTCAGTCAATTACATTTAGTTAATTATGTAAAGTTATAGGCGGTAATTCGATAATCTTGTTTTGATGATTTTAACGAAATTGCTATCTTTTTTGTAGAGTGTAGAGTTTGTGCATTCAACATTACATTGTACATTCTGTTCCTTCTCAGTCAGAGCGAGTGCTTACGTGAAGAGATTTTACATAGCGATACTACAAATTCTGATATTAGTTTTATCTAAATGAAAGTAATTAATATAACGAATAATTAATAATATCGTGGCATATATTGCTTAGTATGTCATACCTGTTGCTCAATAAAATTCTACATGCATGGAATAAAATTGTATTACAATATAATGCAATAATAATATTTATTGGATTCCTCTTAACATTTTAACGACCTGGCCAATATGCATTTTTTAAAGATATTTAATCTAAATTAATTTAGACAATAAAACATAGTTGAGCAGCAATCTTTTATTATAATATCCTTCATTTTGCCCACCCACCGCACTCAGAATAACATTGTTCTTCAGACTCAAAGTTATTAGTGTTGGGAAGTGGCGCACCACAATAATCCGCCCACCGGATCAGCAAGCATTTCTTCCTATCCCATTTATACGTGTATCTGCAAAAAAATAATTGCCAACTCTTTTACTAAGTAGTATACTAATAAGATAAAACAAGGCAATTATGACTGGTGATCCTTTGCGAATTGAATTATTTATTGATCTTAAATTTTCATTACTTATTATACTTACATATTGCATATTAATTTTTGTGTGAATATTAAAAAGGATAATAACAGTTTTTGGTGTAATGTAGCTTTTTACGGATTTACGGACGTAGGTTCGATATCCACCGGGTGTTCCTAATCCATTTATATTTTTTCTGAAACATGTTGACTGTGTCTGGATTTCTGAAAATAAACTAAGGTAGGAATACCAAATTCCGCCAAGATCACGAACCGCCGACCACAGATGAACAAGCCATGAAGTTTAAACTAGCTTTAGTCTATGGATTTCAGAAGTTCTTTTTAGTGTTTATACGCCTATTAAACTAAGTTTGTATCTCAACAAAAGTAAGTGTAAATTAAATGTCATTAACTCATTGCATAATCTGTATAACAGGCTACAGATAAAAAATAAGTTTATAATTCAAAAAATACTTATACCTTTCAGAATGTGCCCATCTCTCTCTGGACATCCATTCAATTATGCAGTATCTACGCTCTGGGTATTTTTCACAAAGATTTGGAGCCACTGAGTAGAAAATATTAATAGGAAAAATGTAAATTAATTAATGTAATACTATGAAATGTTTTAAAAATTATTATTGTGCGTTATCTATGTACATCAAAGTTCTATTTAAATACAAATGATTGGTTACTTACATTGCATTGTAGCGTTAAACATTAAAACAAGCAAGATAACGGGAGCCGCTCCGAACATATTGATAAAAGGTCATATACTGTTAATTTGACAATGACATATTTCCCTAATAAAACATATAATTATCAAGTTTCAACACGTCATACATTGTATACTTTTTACAGCATTACTTAACTTCTAGTCTAGTCTGGTCTTTTAATTATTAAATTGTTCTAAATGAAAATAGTCCGACAGCACATCTTAATTAGATATTATAAGACCACAGCATTGCGTCTCTATCCATACGATACCCATGTTTTGTTTGGCCTCTCTTATAAAATAATAATTTTAAATAATTTTTAAATTTAAAACGCAAGTTCGTCTCCCATTGTAGAACTATTGCTAGGTGTAGTGTGTATTGTAGGTAACAACTTAAGACTATCTCATATGGGTTATACGTATTCTTTATTTGCGTACTACTACTGGCTTCATTGGTTTCTTTATTATAGAATAAAAAAAATTAAAAAAACGCTCCGCCGTAACAGCTGTTAGCTGCCGTGACCAGGATTCGAACCTGGGTTACTACGGCCACAACGTAGGGTCCTAACCACTAGACGATCACGGCTATCGGAGCTGATTGCTTTTAAAGAAACGTTCGCAGTTCATATTCTTCAATTAATAAAAGTTGGTAAAACGCGGAGGTAGTCCGTTGTATAAGATACTGTATTTAAGTGTTGCTTTCTGATTTTAGTCGTTTAATACGAGAAACTGGAGCACTTTCACAAGTTAGATTCTCGGTACAATCGAGTTTTTATATAAGAACGTTAGTACGACGACCTTCGCAGTAAAAAATATCTTCTAAAAATAACATTAAAATCTCTGTCGCTTTTAGATTTTATTTTTGGTCTCATGTTAGTTTAAAAATATAGCTGTATTTGTTTAATTTATGTTTATAACTATAAAATAATAATTATGTAACATATAAGAATTCCTAATCTTTAGGAATTCTTATATGTTACCACAAATAATCCGAATATACCCCCAAGATAAACCGTTACGTTAATTTTAAATAATGTTAATCGGGTAGACTCAATATATAACTCAATATAGCGTCCTACGTGTATAATCAGTAATTCACTAAACAACTCGCTATTATTATGACTTTTATAATTTTGACTGTAATTTTCTTTTTATGAAACAGCATAAAACTGACTTTTAGTTTACTGCCTACAAGGGATAAAACTGTGTAAGTGTGGGTTTGGCGACCCTTTGTAATCGTCCTTTTAACGTGACATAAACCCTCCTCAGAATAATTTATCGTAGCTTTTCATTAGAGTAGATGCTGAGATCCATACGCCATGTAACTGAATGTGGTAAGGATTTCATTCAAAGGCTTGACATTATACAATGCGTATGTTTTGACTTGACGTGGTTAAAAGAAATAAAACAAAACAAAGTGTTTCATACACTTTATTGCTTCACGGATATAATTCTCCATAAAATCTTATACAACCATAGATATTTTATAACGACGAAACGAGCACGCTCCTGCGCATAGACTATACGAGGCACTGAGAGACAGGAATCACAGATTAAAGAGCTTAGAGATAAGTATCAGTAGAGAAAACTTGAGGGAGGAGGGCGCGGGGAAGGCGCAGGACGGGCGAGGCGCGGGTGGAAGGCACCCAGCGCAGCTTCGTTTGTGGACGAGGGTCTTTCTTCTCGAACCCTCAATTGCGGAATCCGCCAGGCAGCGCACGCCGCCGTCAACGCGTGCCGATTTAATACCCAATATGCTGCGGCGTTCAAAGCGGAGTGGGCGTGACCCAGAAGTAGCGCATATTGAGTTACTACTAATGGAACGTTCAAGTCAAAGGCGCTGCATATGACTATAGTTGCGAAAGGACACCAGCAGGCCGCGAATATAGCAGCGATTCCGATCAAGACGTTGCCGAGTCGTCTTCTAGAGCGGAGGGTCGACGTTTGTGGCTGTGGTCCGAGGAGACTCGGTTGAAGTTTCTTCGCTCTGACATCACCGACGTCCACTGCGTCCCGTCGTTCCCTGGGGCCAACTCCAGCGACGATAATTACGTGCGTGGGTCGTCGAATTAGGGGAACTGGAAGAGGAAGTTCTCCGTGAGCCGCTCGCGCTGTTAGAGACAGAGCAGTGAGTTTAACGCGGACAGCCCAGTGGCATCTGGCGACAGCTACGACCGGCACGCAGAATGTGACTACAGCATGAGCAGCCGCGAGGGGTGAGCACGACAGGCACGTAGCTATGACGGAAACGCCACCTGATGGCAAGGATATTGTTTAGTTTACTTCATAAATATTTTTTTAAGTTTCTGGTAGAGTTCATGTTACCTAATAAGATTGCTGAGAGCCAAACGACAGCTACTGCAAGAAGAGGTCTCGCGCATACGGAACCTCGGCCACGCTTAATGACACCACATCTGTCAGCGGCCATTGCAACCAGTGAAAGTGTGCTGGCCGCTACTGGAAATGACTGTTCAAGAGAAACTAATACAGAATCAGTTTATAAATATACATTTGGAATTAATAAGAGAGAGATGAAATTAATTGCGCTGTCTAACTATTTTGATTCACAGATAGAAACCCATGGGATATCCAGATTTCCAAACGAAGTCCAATATGTTTCAGGAAAATTATAATTTGAAAAAATAGAAACATTTGGGGCCTCGTGGGGATCGAATCCACGACCCGTTGATTATTAAGCATACATTGTTAACATTAGACGACGACAACGAACCCGTGATCTTACTGATTGAGTTACCTGTTGATGCATTACAGTTTACTTGTGCTTTTCCAACAACCAGAATAACACAATACGAGTTCCGTCCGTGTCAGTTATTTTTTATCTAAATTTAATTATTAATTCATATAAGGACTCATGTGCTTTAATAAGCCTGTATACATGACAGTCATAGCATATATTTATGAAATTAGATTAACCCGTTGCCGTTTCTATCTTAACATTACAATACAAAAAAATTGTTCAGTATTGAGGTAATATGTATGTTTTCGATTCTAACCGTGTTTTCATTCCTCGAGACCCGAGTCTATCGTAGCGAAAGGTTTAAAAATTAGGCAAAGCAATTTATATAAGACACACCATTTTCTGCTTTCCTCGCATTTTTGTTATAATTTAAACTTTTGGTGGGCTACGACAAACATGTAAAACTTAACTCACTCGCTTACTATACTATAAGCGAGACAAACGCAAAGCAAACCATGGTTATTAGTATCATATACACGAATTGTATATTATGATCTCTACAAACGAAGATTACCTCAATATAATGCATCACATGGCAAGGCAAGTGTTGAAACCGCGCTGCCCGTGTTGCAGCTAGCGGCGCACTAGCAGCACAAACTAAAAGATCAGCTGCACAGGCGCTGAGTAACTGCGGAGTTCGTAAACGCGATGCTCCGCCCGACGCTAGCGCAGCCATGAGGCTAACATTGCCTTAAAATATACCGGAACAATTTAAAAATATATTGAAAAAATTTTTCGACCGGGCAGGATTGTTGAACCGACAACGTCAGCGTTCCGTGCTGTTGCTCTACCCGATTGAGCTACCGATCCACCTCAAGTTAGGTGAGGTTAATTAAGAAAAAGGTTGCTCAGGGATTCACTTGACAAGGCTCAAGTTTCAATAAAGGAACCTTCGTTAATATAATTGGCACGAAACGTAAATATTCATTATGTTGGAGGATTTTTTAAAAATCCAAATTAACTATATTTAATTAAAAATTACACTTCTTAATATAAGTCTTTGTCACATTTAATGATTTGATGGAAATCTTATTAAACTGGTATTATTTTTGATCGGATTCGAATTTTTTAAAAATAAGTTTTGATCAAATTTAAAAGTTCAAACAAAGAATGTAATGTAAGAAAGAACCTCATTTACCGCCAGAAACCAACATACCAATAATTCCAATAACAGAGACGAGAACATATAAGACGATGAGGACCGCCAGGTGTGCCTGAGTTCGACTTGCAGCTAGCCCCTCCTCACTCCAATTCCCGTACATTGCGATGCATCACTGGATCCTGAAAAAAGAGTTTGAAAATAATTTTAAATATTTAATATAGACAAATGAGGACAGAGAATAATGGTGTTCACACCCGAGCCCTATAAAATCTAATTAGGATGTGCTGTCGACTCTTTTGGCTTTTCTTTTTTCGTAAACAATGTATCGTGGTACTCTTAACGGGTTTACTTTTGTCTAATTTTCCAAAATAAATATGAGGAATTTGGATTAAAATATTATAATTATATAATTCTTATTCATTGATACGATATTGGATACATATAGTCGAAAGTAGCATTTTTACTTTTAAATAAAACACTTTAGCGTTTTAAAATGCGATATATAACTTCGGCCCGGCGTTTCGGATGCATTGCAGCAGCGGCGGTCACGTGGAGACGTCGGGCCGGAGTAAAAAATCATTTTCAAATAAGTTTAACGAATATATCGCGTTTTAAACCGTTAAAGTGTTTTATTTAAATGTGTACTACTTGCGTAAACTATGGACAGTATTTAGCATTTTTACTATTTATAAAAAGAATACTATATATATTGTTAAATTTCTTGATAAATTAGAATAACGATTTTAAACTTCATTCTCATTTATCTTGTAGAATATTACTGTAAATAATATCATAAAATTTAAGAAAATCCAATGAAACGAAAGAAGCATAGATTTTCTTTACAAATAAACGTGATTGATTATATTTTTATTATTCGACCTCACTGAAAGCATAACACTCAAAAGACATCTTTTAAAGGCAATGTAACTGAATCTAAAAGGATTTCTAATACTGGATCCCAAGAGAAAAGGAACAAAGATAATAACGAGACATAACGAATGAATCGCTTTGTCTAGACAGCTGGAGCAGCAGTCTTGCCTTTTTATACACTTTTCACACCCGCCAAGCGGTAATTTCCAAGACGTCTCGTGGCATTGGCCATTTTGAATCGATCACTGAATATTTTAATCATAGGATAATGATGCTTAACTTGTTCTCACATATAGTAAGATCTTCAACAAATTAGTTCTAATATGCTACGGTAGTTAATAATAAATGGAATTTATTAAAAATTACATCTAATAAACGAATTTTCGTTTTGTATTAACGAAAGTAGGATGGTAAAACATTGCCTACTATTATTTCTCATCTCTTGTATTATTTTTAGTGAGAACAAAGAATATTTTTATTTGTAAATTACTGTAGGTCATAGAAGTAATAGATCTACAGACTTTTGTAAATCTAATATCTTTATACTTTGCAAAGCATTGTCTGTCGTGTTTATATGAATATGAAACCAACGTTTATTGAATATTTCATGTTTGATATTAGCATTTCCACAATTAATATTTATTCAGAATCTATGCTTTTCGAATACTCAATTCCACTTGTATCGAGATATCACAACCGCAGCTGTGTGACCACAATCGGAATTCGTTTTGTTAAGGCCTGTTTGAACTGAAATGTTATTTTCAGTAGGCATACATGAATTTCAGCCAAATTCAGTCGCAATTACATCTGTTGCTTTTAAAGAAGTAAACGTAAGAAGGTCCAGAATTCCACGAAGTAAAATACGTCATGACAATGTAACACCATTTGTCAAACCAGCTCGCGATATGCAAAGTTCATATAAAAATATAAAAAATTGCTCCGCCGTAACAGCTGTTAGCTGCCGTGACCAGGATTCGAACCTGGGTTACTACGGCCACAACGTAGGGTCCTAACCACTAGATGATCACGGCTATCGGAGCAGATACTGTTAGTATTAAAAGCGTTGTTGGCTCTCAACAAGTTTACAAGTAAAAGTGATGAAGTGTGACGGTAAGGCTTTTTATCGACCTTTCAATTCAATCCGCGTCTGTGTACATGGACATGGGACGATTAAAAATCTAAGCTAAAAAGTAATTTATTAGTATAGTAATAGTTAAAATTCCGAAAATTAGGGCGTCAATCGAATGAGAAGAACTGGCAAAAAACTCGCCGCCACTCCTTTTATTGTTAAGTTTTTATTACAATCCTTACGCACTTAATGTGTACATCTTCTCCCTTATTACAACCGCTTCCTCTAAACTCCAACTATGGTTATCATTTAAATATTGATTTATCTTTTTATCCTTTCCAAGAAGTTTTTGTCGAACATACTATTTTACCTTATTTATGGACAGTGTTTTTCCTTCAGTAGGGATTTTATTAACTTTGTGTACGTTTGTTGATCATTTTTACGGGCAAATATTTGACCAGGTTTGTGTCTGCTTATAATTGTTTATTTTCGACATTTGCTCTTCGAATTTGGAAGGTAGTTAAATTGTTCGGTAAACTGAAAACTTGTCTTCAGGGACCAATAACTTCTGTTATCGTTTGTAACCTTCTCGTGTACTGAATAATAGGTATGACCAAGGCACGTGTTCACGAAACTTCGCCCTTCGGATAATAAAGTTTTATGGCGGAACCATTTGTTCAACTTTTCTGCTAAGCTCAAACTTATACTTGGAGTTATAGAAAATTCAAGGTACATAACTTACTATAAACAATTCAAAATCCATGTCTTTTTGTATTGTTTGCTTTTTAAAACAAAAGCATTGTTTTTTTTGTAATTGAATATTTTAAAACGATTGAAAAATTGTTTTTTTTTTTTTTTTGTATTGTTTGCATTGTTTAAATTTTATTGTATTATTTACATTAAATAAAGCATTTTATATTGTTAATTAAAATCGTTGATTAATTTTTAACTACAACTTGATCTTTCGGAACTTTTACAGCAGGTAGCTGTGGTCACGTACGGACACTCTCGTATAAAAAGTTATTTTACTTAATGCGTAAATTGTGTCTTTAGGACCGCTTAAAAGCTTATTAGGTCTCTATTAATATCTCGAAATTTAATGTACCCATTTTATTTATATAATAAAATCCTCAGTAGAGTTCAAGCACTGTCAATAAATAAGTTCAAATCGTATGTAAAACAAATTTAACGAAATATTATTACGGAAAGAGATGTCATTGTTTTACTGGCTGTACGGCCGCCGTTAGCAAGACGAAAGTTTTTGACGTTTCGCCATCGCGGGCGGATGGCATCATCAGGAGATGTTATTTCCTGCTGTGTTGTTGAATAATGGCCGTAAAAGCCACATACAATTTATTTATAGAAAAGCTACTATTTATGTTAATGAAGGTCAATACTTAAATAATAACAGTTCTTGAGGTTTAGAACTCGGTTTAACAGGGAACAATTTAAATAAAACACTTTAAAGGTTTAAAACGCCATATATTAGGTAAACTTATTTGAAAATGATTTTTAACTTCGGCCCGAGGTTTCGGATGCTTTGCAGCAGCCGTGGTCACGGGGAGACTCCGCGTCATTTTCAAATAAGTTTTACTAATATATCGCGTTTTAAACCGTTAAAGTGTTTTATTTAAATGTGTACTACTCGCGTAAACTATAGACAGTAGGGTACAATTTGTAGGATGAATCCATGAGGAGTTTGTAACCAAAAACTCAGTTCTTCTGGTTATTTCTACGCCCTTGATTTGGGCACTAATTGTTAATATTTTTAACTAAAGACGTTCCTAAGTATACCTAGTAAGCTATATGATTTTTTTTAATTTGGAGTTTTTTTTTCAAATTTATATAAGGGTTTTTAGGCATATTATAAGCCTTCCTAATCTTTCCATAAATTTTTTTTCTTGCTATGTGAAATTGATAAAAAAATGCTATCGCGTAGTGTATAGAATTCCTAAACATTTCACAACGCAGCATACCATTGCACTGTAGTAGCAGTATTTGCTCCAGATTTTCGATAACACGCCAAAAATGAAAGGTAATCAAATTGGAACTGCAATACCAAACTGTTGCCGTACTTTTTGGATAATCGGATATTCAAGTATTGAAAATATAAGTGGTTTTAAGTTTGTAATAACAACCTCCGATAGCCGTGATCGTCTAGTGGTTAGGACCCTACGTTGTGGCCGTAGTAACCCAGGTTCGAATCCTGGTCACGGCAGCTAACAGCTGTTACGGCGGAGGACTTTTTTAAATCTAATTAAATAACGTTATTTTCTATTTCTTTTCTCCTGTACTTCAGGCTGCCTGGAAGAGATCGCTACTTAGCGATAAGGCCGTCTTTTATTTAAGTTACTACGTAAGATTTTTCCTCATTAATATTTATTTTCTGTTGTGTTTTATAAATAAAAAAGCAATAATAAAATAAATAAAAACGTTTTAACAATTAAACAAATAGTTCTGATATTTTATTCATTGTTTTACTGTTTAATTAAAACGAACATCAACCTCATCAGCATATGAATTAAACTAGAGCTTTTAAAGCATTATGAAATTATGTTTAAAATTCTTTTGAAAGAACACTTTAAAGATATTCTATTACGGAAAGCAGATTTAAGCGAACCTCATTTCGAAAAGCAGGTCGCTCTGGTACAATATTATTTACTGAAAATGCGGGTTAATTTTTAATGTTGCTAATGTTCTGTCATATATACCGAGTTCCTCACGACCACGCAACGGAAGTACTAAGTATCTTTCTCCTAACGACCTTGGTACACTTAGTAATCACACCTCATGGTATTGGGACTCAAATTATGAAAAGAAAGAATGTATTTATTACCACAAGCTATACGATACAATATAAAACTCCAAACTAATTAGTGATTGTAGACTATAGTCAAATATGGAATATCAAACCAAACTCACCGTTATTTAATTTTAAGGTAGTTCGACACTCGTACATACTGTTACATAAAACTGATATATATGGCAAACGAAATATGTGCTTCGTTTGCCATTTATGAAATACTTAATAAGTTAAGATATCGTCTAGCTTTCGCACTTGAGAGAATTACCTACGCACATTGTAAGAATCGTATGTACCGTTCGTATTAAGTACGTGATTCGAAAACGAAAAGTAATCAACTGTTCTGAAAAGGGCCACATACAAATATTTTACGTAAATGTACAACGTGTCTGAAAATCAAATGCTGCTCTAGCCCACT